ACCGTCTTTATAGTTGGGTCTCTGAATGGACGTCCAACCTGTTGATTCCCGGCGCTAGAATCTGAGCAACCCACTGCTCCGGCCAAAACACCAGCTTTAAGATTGATGGTGCCCTTCTGACTCTGCACCAAGAACCGCCACACCAAGGCAGCGGCAAAACCGCCTCACCGGCCTCAAGAGTCATGCTGGCGACACGTGGGGCTCCTCCGCTGGGAATCTCCTGGTGTGTGGGCAACAAAAATTGATCTGAAAGTGTGGCGTCCTCTCGTTCTCTGCTCTTTCAGTGGGAGCTGCAATCCCGAGCTGCTAGTGATCAGCCATCTTGGATCTCTCTCCAAAATTCTGTTCAAAGTATGTATTTGCGGCCAGGCATGGTGGCTCACGCCTGTAATCCCAGCACTTTGAAAGGCTGAGGTGGGTGGATCACCTGAGGTCAGGAGTTCGAGACTAGCTTGGCCAACATGGTGAAACCCTATCTCTACTAAAAATACAAAAAGTTGCTGGGCATGGTGGTACATGCCTGTAGTTCCATCTTCTCAGGAGGCTGAGACAGAAGAATTGCTTGAATCCAGGAGGCAGAGGTTGCAGTGAGCCAAGATTGTGCCACTGCACTCCAGCCTGGGCAATAGAGCAGGCTTCATTCACTTCATCCCCCCCCCCAAAAAACAAAAAACAAAAAACTGGCCAGGCAAGGTGGCTCACTCCTGTAATCCCAGCACTTTGGGAGGCTGAGGCGGGCAGATCACGAGGTCAGGAGATTAAGACCATCCTGGCAACATGGTGAAACCTCTCTCCACTAAAAATACAAAAAATTAGCCAGGTGTGGTGGCACTCACCCTTAGTCCCACCCAGCTACTCCGGAGACTGAGGCAGGAGAATCACTTGAACCTGGGAGGTGGAGGTTGCAGTGAGCTGAGATGGTGCCACTGCACTCCAGCCTGGGCAACAGAGCGAGACTCCATCTCAAAATAAATAAATAAATAATAAAAACAAAACATATATTTGCTAAATCTGGTTAGATACATGGGGGCTTATTCTATGATTCTCTTTATTGTTAGGTATACTGTCATTTTTCATAATAAAATCTTAAAAATATTTAGGCAATTTTAAATAGGTATTGTAGGATATAAGATAATCTCATCTATGCATTTATCAAACATTTATTGAGTGTCTATTATGTGTCAGGCACTGTGCTAGCCAACTGAGAAATACAATGATATATAAATTGCATATAAGGGCTGTCAGGGTGGTAAAAATAATGTGCAGAAGGAATTAGGAGCTGGAGAGACTCCTTCTAACTGGGGTAATGTGTACCAGGTATTGGGGAGGATACAGGTTAGAAGAGCATTCATTT